CAGTGGGAACCGGTTCTCAACAAGAACCGGTTTTCGATACCCATCCCTAGTCCTAAGTAACATTATCAGTGTTTTTAATGACACTGAAGGTAATCTATTCAGCAGCTGCACTGAATCCATGAAATAGTCACAGGTCAATATTAGTAAAGCTGCTACTTCAACCTGAGACTCAAAAGGACAATGCTTTGAGTTCCCCATTCCTGTCTTCACTGCCTTGCAGGCAAAAACAACATAATTCATGCATGTTTTTTGTCCCGTTTTGCAGATTTTGCAGTCATAATCTGAATGCGATACTGCACCAAACAGACTTGCTATTTCCAAGATAACCCCAACCTATAAATTCTCTATTTATCTGTTTATTTATTCATGTCTATAACAGACCTGAGTGTAAAATAAACAATTTATTGACATCCACTTAAAACAATCAAATTAAAAGAGACATTGCAATTGCACATGTACTGTCAATTCAGAGCTGTGGCTTATAGGTGAATGGGATGCCAGACGAGGACAAGTCCAGAAAAGCCACCAACTCACACGTGTGGCTCACTTGCACATACAGGTGCACATACACTATGGTGCAGCTCAGACAACGGGTGCATAAACTGCTACCACCACTAAGGCACCCACTCACTTCCACTTTATTCCTTCAGCCCCTGATTAAAGGAAACAAATTATTAATTTATCTATAAAAATAATAATGTTTTTTGTCCGGTCCCGCAGATTTTGCAGTCATAATATGTTCATTTCCATTCGTTTTGCTTCTGTTATTACTTTACATGAATAATATGGCCATGTCCAAGCATTGACAGCAGGGATAAATAAAGAAAAAGGAATGAGGGAGAAAAAGAGATTATAATGAAAGGACAGAGCACAAACGGAAAAGCAAAATGGATCAGAAACTACTGCACCTGTTGGACAGCAAGGCACACATACAATGTTCTCGTGCGGGTCTTTTTTGTGTTTTTTTTTTTTTTTTTTTTTTGCGTGTGTGGCAGTGCGAGTAAAAGGGAATGATGTAACACGAACACACCAAAATGACGGTGTGTCAATGACTATTTAT